AAAAAAAAAAAAAAAAAATCAGTGGCCAATTCTGGCCTTAATAATGACAACAAAAAAATTTTTTGGAAATATATGGGATGGCTCACTGAAGGAAAGCTGAATGTCAAGGCTTAGGAAAAACACACATTGAGGTGGGGGAGGGGCAGAGCAACATGGCCAAATAGAAACCTCCAGTGATCATCCCTCCACTGGAACACCAAACTCAACAACTATCCACTTGAGCAAGCACCTTCAGAAGAACCAAAAATCAGGTGAGCAATCATACTGCCTGGTTTTAACATTACATCAAGGACAGAGGCACTGAAGAGAGCAGAAAAAACAATCTTGTATTGCCTATGCCACCCCTTCCCCATCCCCCACAGTGCGGCCAGCACGCTGAGTGGAGAGAGAATCCGTGTGCCCCAGGGCAGGGAGAGTGAAGTGATCGTGGGACGGGGCATTGTAACTCAGGACCACCCTGGCACAGAGGATGACAGCACCGGGCAGAATCTGCCAGTGCCCAGTGAAGAAGCATTTAGACCAGCCTGGCCAGAGGGAAATCCTCCGCCCTGAAACTCAAGTTCTGGCTAGCCCCACCACTGGCTGACAAAAAGCAGCCTGGGGCCTGGACTAAATTTGTGAGACAGTTGGGCCACAAAGGCTGCAGTCCTTGGGCAATTCCTGGGGCTGTGCTGGCTTGGAGCTAGTGGACTTGGGGTGCATGTGACCCAGTGAGATACCAGCAGAGGCAGCCAAGCTAGTGCCTGTGTCACCCCTCCCCCATCATAGCTCACTACGACCTCAAACTCCTGGGCTCAAGTGATTCTCCTCCTCCTGCCTCAGCCTCCTGAGTAGCTGGGACTACAGGTGCACGCCACCACACTTGGCTACTTTGATACTCTTATTAACTTCAGTATTATATTGCTCTTGGCCAACAATAGAAATTTAGTTATATACTAGAGCAGTAAAGAATAAAATTCAAAAGCATCAGACAGAGTAAAAGGAAACTTAACTTCTACTTCTAGCTGTTACTTACTAGCACAATTTCTGCTAGTATGGTACAGGTGCAAGAGAGTGGTTCCATTATCAGAGAGACCACAGGAATCATCTGTGGACTGTGAAAAACAAAAAAACACAGATGGTTCTCAGATCCATCCTAGCTAGATGAACTATCCAAGACTGAGGCTTGGGCATATGTTTTGTTTCAAAGCTCCAAAGATGACAAGGATATACTCTTCTGGCAAGAATCACTGCAATCACTACTCACCGAATGGATGAACTACCTGGTTGTGTGACCCTAATAAGTTGTATAACTTTTTTTTGTGCTATAGTTTACTCATGAGTAAAACAAGAATTCCTAAATGTTTCTTCTGGTTCAATAAGTTGTTAGTATTAAATAGGAAAACATGGAAATGGTTTGAAAAGCCAAAAGTACAACAAAAACAAAAGCTGAATAATCCTTGTCATAATTATTAGCTAGCCTCGTGACTTGCATCTATCATAAAACTGGGATCCGACTCAGTTTTGATTCTCCAGCTGGTGAAGCAGATGCTCTGAGCAGAAGAGAAAGGGAATGCTCATTTGTAGCATTAAAGCAAGGTCCCTTATAATGTAATTCTTGCAAAAGTTTCCCTAATGACACCCTCTCTAGCATAGAGGGTTACATTAATTTTTTAAAAAGGGAGGGGTGACCCAATGGGGGAAAGTCTCTTTTAAAGAGGATGGTGAAGGATCTAAGAAAATGAGAGAGAAACAGTTGCATTGACATTTTCCAGTTTCTAGTTCTTACACTGAGAAGAAAGCACACAGAGAAAAAGAAGACATTTAAAAACGGAACTACAAAAAAAATTTTTTGTCCTAATCAGTTTATGTGCAGTTCAGATAAAGATATGCTTAAAAGATATGCAAAAAGAACAGTGCCTGGAACATACTAAGTGCTCAATAAATACTGACTATTAACTTTTATTCTACCCTTTCTATGAAAAGGAAGTCATCATGATGAAGAGCAAAAAGCATGGGTATGGGAGAACAGTCCTGGATTCCACTTCTAGTTCTGTCCAATTAGCTATGTGCCCCCTTAGGCAAGTCACTAAAATTCTAAGGTAAGGTTGTAAGACATAATGAACATCAATGAGTATCCATTTCAAGAAATTTAAAAAAGCCCAGCTCAATAAAAGTACAAAGAAAATAATAAAGATATGAGCTGGCGTGATTAAACTAATAAATATATAATAGGCAAAAACAACAAAACCAAAAGTTAATAACATCACTTTGCTGATTGTGAAAGGCAGTGTGGAGTAGAGGCAAAAACCAAATAATGAGTCTTTGGCCCAAGCTCACTTTAGTCACACACCGTAGTATGACCTAGGGCATCAAGCTTAATCTTACAAACTTTAGTTTCATCATTTCTAAAATGTGGAAGATACTAACTCTATAGGATAGTTAGGGAAGGGATACTCAATGGATATAAAAATACTTTATAAAATCTAAACATTAATAACTTTTAATGTCATACCTAAGTCCTTATATTTCTTTCGTTATGGGTTAGTATTATTTTAAGAGTATGCTGGGCAAAAATTAATTATGCACACA